CCCATTTCAGATCACGTGTCATTGGCCTAGAGCAACGTTTCTTTTTTTTTGTTGTTGCGCGTAGCGTTGCACGAAGTAGAATACAGTTCTTCTTTTCGAAACGGATTGCAGCGACTGGCAATGCACAGTGTATTACGCCTCCAACAACTTTTCTCGCAATTTTAAGTTACATTTTTCGAGAACGCATGCGCACATTTCTCTTTTTTTTTCGATCGAGGAGCCAAAAAATGTTGCAGGTTGCTCAGATCGCGTTGTAGTATAACACCTTATCTCGACAACTTGCAACGCTACATTTTCAAGCAGCGCGAGACAAGTTGCTGAGAAAATTGCTCAGTGTAACAGGACATTAATTCGCAAAAAATAAAAATACGTCACTATTGTTTTCATCCATCAGACGAGCAAGGAGGCAGTGAGATCTATCGTTTATCCAAAACTGCATTCAATCGTTGGATGGTGGCCTACACTTTGATAAAGAACCCGGAGCTTCAAAAATTCAGGAAGCGGTGCCTGAGAGTGTCGTTTCTGACGGATTTAAAAGCCAGCAGTGACGCCTCTTCATCGTCTGTACTAATAATCTGAAAGGATCTCGTACCTGTGGTGAGCTTGTGATATAGAGTAAAATTCTTATGACTGATACACGACTGACGGTAACAATCACAGCGCACGAGATCATCCAATCAAAATGCTCATATATAGTACCGTAACGGTCAATGCTCGGTCATACTAAAGTGCACGCACTAAATCCGTGAACAGATTAGTACTAATTAGTACTATTTCATACAAAATCCTTTGTTTTCTATTGTGTATTTATCACCATTTAGTACTAAGAGTTAGTATTTGTTTCACGGTATTAGTATTTGTTAGTATTTGGTTTTTTTTTGGTTTTTTTTTCCCTTTTTTTTTTTCTCGAAGATATTAGCTTTGTAAGCTACTCTGAAATTCGAGGTTAAATAAAGTTTATGTATGTATGTATGTAGGGTTTCGCAGATTCTCTGCTCTGCTCGCGACAAGCATGACAGGACTCTGGGTTCGAGAGTGTATGAGCTCTAAGCATGGTAYCATGTATTTACTGGTACAGTATTGATGGATTGCAAGCATTCCCAAGAGAGTCAAAAGACAAAAGCATTCCGGCCATTGTGGTGCCGTTCACAATGGGTGCTAATGAGAAATCTTTTGTTAAATGGCACCAACATGGCCGCGATGACGTAACGTGCAATCGAAGAATACCATGTATTTACTGGTGTACAATGCATTTATTGGTATACCATGTATTTACTGCTGGTATATCATGTATTTACTGGTATACCATGTATTTACTGGTATACCATGTATTCATATGACGTCAGATTTGGCATCCTCAACGTGACGTCATTTATAGCGTCCTATTATGTATTAATGTCCATTTATTTTAGATATATGGTCAGTGATAAGTATCTATATCTATCACATATCATATCGCGAACGAGTGTGCGTGCACTCTAGATATGGTTTTAATTGACAGTTTTATCACTGTTTTATCATACTGGGTTATACGAGGGGTGGATAGCGCTATCCAACGGATTAATCCTTATCCAGTAGTGGACCAGTCAATGCTGTTATCATCCAATAAATTTATTCCCTGAATAAAATTTATCCGTCGGATAAGCGCTATCCACCCTTCGTGCAACCGGGCCCTGWTATCAACTCTACATGTGTAACAAAGTTTTAGTTGCTCTCTTTCAAAAAAAAAGCTAGTGGTCGATAGTTATGCTTAAGCAAGTTGTCATACATGCCCGCGCGAATACGATATCGTTTTGTGATACGAGCCTCATCTCGTATATTGCGCATACACCTATTTCAATAAAACGTTGTCATCGCCAAAGGCACAAAGAACCAGACACTGAATAAGTCTCATCACTAAGGTCAATGTTCTTGAAGAGAATAAGAAGCAGAAACACAAGTCATTCCAGCTATTCTTGGATCTTGGAATGCCCCATTTCCTATCGCTTTTCGCCTCACCGTTTGCCTATTGTCTTTGGCGATGACAGCGTTTATTGAAAAAGGGGTATATTTTAGTTATTTCGTTTCACTCGAAAATAAAGTCTCTTTATGTTAATAACCATCGCCGTAAATTTGTTTTGATACATTATTAATTGTTAAATAAAATAGAAAAACGACTTGTTGTTAGCATCTGTTTTGTATTCTAATAAGACTAATGGTATTAATTCTGACAAAACCACGCTCRGACCATCTTCCCACCTTCCCTACCCTCCCTACCCTAACGCAACTTTTTGCATCATACCCTACCCCGCTAACAAAAACTTAACTTTGTTATGTTTGATTACTTTCACAATACTAAATTATGCGCTTTCACGAGCAAGAAAAATTAGTAATAGCTGATTGTGAAACAAAAGTTTTTTTACCCTTAAAACATTTGCGCGTAAAGTATTTGTTATCTCGCATGCATGAATTTGGTCTCGAGGGGCGCGCGATGGGTTTGTGAACGTCCTTGTTGTATGTTGCAAAAAAAACACTTCAAGTAACAGCAGTAAGACGACGAATAAGCAAGAAACAAGATGAATCGTGACTTGTAAAGCACTGGATCATAGGTAAGATGGGAGATAACAGTACAAGAACACGCAGGTGAATGAATCATTATTTATGTATTGATCTTGAGGCCACGAAACATGAAGCTAACTTGAAAGAAAATAATTTACATTATATTCATCAAACCCTTCAATTCACTGACTTCAAATTCAGATTCAAAGTCATATCTTTCTTTCTAAACGAGCTAATTTTCTAGCGGTAAAAGCTTGCTCAAAGTGGTTTATGACTGGGCTTCCTGTGGTGTTACGTAGAATATACTGTAAGTCACTAGACAGTCGGAAATGTTCCTCCCTTTAAACCCGTGAGAGATGTCGTTTTTACATGCAGCAGTCAGTAGAAATAAAATTCCCGAGGTGTAATTTCACCTTTAGAAGAGGGATTGACTTACGATTTCATGATTAACTCCTAAAAGGTGCGACGTCATTCTCGCCCTTCGGCACATGGGAGTATTCCCTCCCTCCCATTTCATTCCCATTCCCCCCAACTTCTCCCCCGAGGATAGTATAAACTAGGTTAAAAAGTCCTGGAATTTTTTTGGTCAAATACATTGGGTTAAAAAGTCATGGAATTTTTTTGGCCAGGCCGGACACAATCCAACAATCTCAAAAAGAATAGAGGCATTTGGGGTATCCGTTCTTATACATCTATCCTACGYATTATTTCAAAATCATCATTATTATTATTATCATTGAGAAAATACGCGAAATCAAAATCGAACCTTTTACAAAAAAATTTGACACGAATACGAATTTTGGATATAATTCATGGGGAGGTACAATGTTTGTCAGAAGACTTCTCCCAAACGCCATCAGTAATGACATGTGACAGCAGATAATCGACGATTGCCAAATATTCTGCTGCTCTTGTGAATGAAGTTCTTTATAGTTCTTTGTCGTTGGTCCTCTTCGGCATGCGTTTCTCGGTTTTTTATAAACACTATAGAGAAGGGGCTATCCAGTAGATTCATTTGGACATATTTTTTTTTAAAACTTTTGATTGAAAGAAATATTCATTTTCCAATGTTAATATTACCAAGAGACTTGAAAAAACCGAATTTGTCAAAAAAATGTAACGCGAAAATGGAATTCGAAGCCGAGAAATCTTATTTTTAGACTCTTGTCCCTTTAAATTTTCACCACAGGGATCCCAAACAACAACTGGCGCCGAAAAAAGCTTTATAAAAAGATAATCAAAATACTTTCGGCAAATGTTTTATACTTGAACGAAAGTCCATTTTGAGCTCTATTAGGATCTTTAAGAAAAAAGTTTGATTTTGCTTTATTTCATGCAAAACGGGGCGATTGAAATTTTGACCTCGAAATATGCGTTTTTCGGGTTGACCCAAATTTTCGAAAATTTAAAAACTTATTTTTATTACACGAAATATACATCAATAGAAAGCTACAGATGAGGGCTACATAGATCTGACATTATTTTCTTAAATAGATGAATGTGTAATATTTTATGGCTGAATTAATTTTCAGTGAGCAAGCTGTCTGGTCAGCGGTATAGCGTTTTCAGCATTTTCCTTTTTTCACACCCTTTTTGATTTCTTTTCGAAATGAAACTAACACAGCTAATAGCTCTATAAACCTCTCATATTRTGGCGTAAATTAAATTTTCAAAAGTCTGCCACAAGTTAGAAAAATAAGACGATAAAATAGTTTACTATTTGGGAATCCTGTGGCTATTGAGTTGTGCACMTAACACAGGAAGCCCGTCAYATRRAAAGGYAATAAAACAAAAGAAATTTTCACCTTCAATTSCCATTTGYGCATTAGTTATTGTGTTTACCAAAMAKGCTTTTGAATCTCCAGGGATTGGKAGAATACGAAAATGAGCTGTTCYCTGCATYCGCCATCTTGAAACAAGAGAGGACTACGCGCCGACATTAAAACTCAAGAAACTTGCAGACTACAACTACTAGACATCTGAAATGAAAGGTAATGTGAAGTAAAGACTTTATTTAACATTTTTGAGCATTCTAAAGATTAGAAATAAAGTTTATCCAAACGTTTATTGGCGATTTAAATCTGTCTTGAAAGTGTTCAGTTTCATATGTGTTTATGTATATATGAGAGTATGTGGACCGCGTGGCACTAATGAAATAGTAGAAGATAATATAGGTAAGTTGTAGTGCTTGGGAACGAGGTTATTCCGGGTGAAAGCCCTTGGAATTAAATTCGGAAAAATTAATTTCCGACCTATATATTATATATATAGTTATATATATTATGTATATAGTTAAGTTTGCCGCGTTTTGCGGGCTAAAAGTCCCTTTTTATGCTTGAATTTGGTTAATTTTTCAATTGGAGGGTTCGCTTGGCTAAAATAAAGTACAAAAACTTTTTATTTAACGAATATGAAAATTTTGCTCAACATTAACCTATGCGCATAGTTTATGAGGGATAGAACAGAACTAAGGGCGTTTCGTAGAGACCGAGAGTTAGAAGGGTCCTTCTGCGCCACTTGTTTGCGCTTTTAAGCGTAAGAAAAGCCTATTCTTTTAATATTATAAAAAATTGCGCTACGTTTAGGTTGTTTTTTTCCTATAAATTAATTTCCTTGTGTCTTTATTTTTTATTCGATCACTAATTTAATAAAAAGTCAATTATTAGATAAAAACTCATAAGATTATTGTATTTTTTTTTGTTATAGGTACGGGCAAAATCATCGCTGTAATCTAACAATATCCAAGAACCTGCAGGACATAAACCAGGTTAAAGACTAAAATATGTTTGCATTTTCTTCTAAAAAAAATTATGAAGTTTTAAATTTTGTGTATTTATTGATGGTATTCATTACTTTAATAAATGGTGTCGAGACTTTACCTTTTTTCAAAACCGTAATTTTTCCCGCCAAAAAACTTAGAATTTTTCAACTCTCTCATTACGTTATACTCCTTTCGAATCGTGCTTTTTTTCCCGCCAAAAAACTTAGAATT